TGTGAAGTGCCAATATAGCCTTCTTCCCCGTGTTTACTAAATCTCAGCCCGCGCTTGCCATTTAGACACTAGTGGTTTCCACGTCATTCTTTTCAGGAAAGAAACGGGAAGTGCCATTGTCTGCTCCCTACTTGACACGTTATTAGTTGCCTCTTTTGCTAACATATCAGTGTGTTCATTGCCCTGGATTCTTGTATGGCAGGCACCCAGGACAAGATCGGTCTTGGATCCGGATATCCTTTCAACAGCATTCTCTGTACACTCTGAACTAAGGGATTCTACTGCGAGTTCCTGCTATAGCTGTCAGGCTTGAAGCTGAATCACTATATATAATGGTGCTATATTTAGATTGTTGGAGAGCATAGCGAATGGCTGCTTGCAGAGTAGTCGGTTCTGCAAAATCGCTAAATTGGATCACTAATTATCCGCACATAATAAATAAATTAATTAATCAAAGAAACGGAGCTCCTCATAGGCAAGTCTTCTTTCTTCCGGACTTTCCCCTCCACTCTCTGGCGAGGAGACTGTTGAACATGTGCTTCTTCTATGTCCTAAAGATAAGAACGAACGAAAAGTCTTGAAACTGGGACTGAAAAATTTTAATATTAACTGGCATCCAGAATTTTACCAGTTTATTTTTGAGAGAAGTGCCTTTAACAGTTTTTGTTAATTCATTGTAAAACTTTGTAATCATTCTTAATTTTATTTCAATTTTCTCTTCTGTTTATTTTGTATTGTGTTTCATAGTTATTTCTGTAAGCCCCATGTGATACTATGTGGTACATGTGGAACTTCTTGTGTTTCTTTTAATAATAATAATTTAAAAAAAAAGCTCTAGTATGCATAATAAATTAATTTAATGTTTTAAACCTAAGTTTATTTTCCACATGTTGATCCTTGCATTTGTTGTGTGAAAAACGAAGTTGTTATTTTTTTATCCGGAAGTGTAGCAAGTGATAGCTTATTTTCTAGATGCACTAGGTGTTAAGTCATGCCTGGAAAAGTAACTATACGCTCACCAGGATTCGAATCCTGAATGTTCCAGTTGCTATCTGTAGTAAGTAACACCTTATATCATGAGAGCATGCAAGGCGGATTCGGCTAATTTCTTAAATTCTTTTCTGCTTAAAGGGGAACTGGGGAGAGGTACGAGAACCAGTTGACCAAATTCAGGTGGAACGAGCTATAGTCCACTATATGTTAGTTCGGCCGACACTGTAGAGATTTTAAGATTTTTTAAGACAAGGTAAAGGGAATAAATCAACTATGCAGTCACCTTGATTTGAACGATGGATCTTCCGTTTATGAACTGGACATACTAACCACTTACACTACGAAAGCGTGCAATAATTCTTTAAAATTAAAAAAATATTTTTAATATCTCAGTACATTTTACTATATTTTAAATTTTGCATAAAGAAGAAACTTTCAAAGGCACAGTGCAAGAGAAACAAGAATTATTTATTTAAATTTATAGGTAATCCGAAATCTATATAAAAATGTCTTAAGTTACCTTTTAGGTGCGTACCCTAAAAAGTTATTTATTTATACTAAATATTGTTGCGGATTTTGTATTTATTTAGCTAGTTTTAGCGGTATTTGTATTTAAATTGTTTCATTTCCCGTGCGACGCCGCATGAGACTTATCTGAAGAGAAAGCTACGCTGGAAAAATTAAAATACAGGAGCACGCGCATTTAACAGTTTAATAAATAGATTACTCGTAATTGTACTCTTTTACTATCCAGAAAAAACCAGAAAATACCAGAATGTTCTCGTGCAGGATTAAAAAGATTATAAAAGCTGGAGGATAATATCTCATTTCAGTTGTTTACTTAGTGCTGTTATTAATTGTAGCAAATTCGCGGTGAGATTGGATTATCTTTGTCAGTGATTTAAATTGAGTTCTATTCAACATTTTAGTAGTTTAAAATATAACTATTTTGAGATATTACGATATTGTGCGAATATCTCTGAGGAAATTTCAGCCTTTTATTTTATTTGCTGTGATAAGAATAAATTTTATTCACTTTTCATCGCACTTGTGCATTCAATTTATTACGAACCCCTATGCACACAACATTATTCTTAAGCCTCGAAGTAATACTGTGTTTAAAAATCCTGATATACATAGAAAATAGCAGACGAACTGACCCACTGTGCGCTCTTAAGTGTTAACTATTAACTATCGATCCTGCGCCTTAAAAATTTAATATTCTTGGTAACTAAAGATCTTATTATTTTCGATGTGAGATATGAGTACATCTATATAAATAAAAAAATGACTTTAAAATGGCAGTTGAATTAGTTTTTCGCTAAGATCTTGTTAGTATGTACGTTAGAAGAACGTGTAGAAATTGATACGTTATTGAAATAAATAACAGCTTACTAATTTAGAAGTTAAACAACAAAAATCAGTGTTATATTTACAAATTTTCACAGGGCCAGTTTCGATGGTTTTATCGAACCTCAGCTGCCAAAGTGCAAATGAACGAGATAAGATATAGTGATAAGATAAGATAGAAATGGCTGAACAGGAGATAAGCTAGTGGAGCCATCTATTGATGAACCAAGAAAACTAAACATAACTTCCTTAGAGGCTGAAGTAAAGATGGATTGGAATTAAGGTCATTAACTAAAACAGAAAGATTTTTTTTAATGTGAAATGCCTCTGGAAAATCCAATTCACCAATAGAAGATCTTTTTTGAATAATTTTGGCTGCAGAAAAATGGAAAGTATAATTTTCAGACCAACAATGCTGGGCAGCAGAAGACTTCCGTGTTTTCTTTTTCCGAACATATGCACAACGTTCTTTAACATGAATTAAATTAATATCTATTCCAAATTACTTTTCTTTCGGCGTGTTATTTTACCTTAAATAACGGCTTATACAATAATGTAAATAGCTATGAGTAACTTCATTAGAAAAAGATAAATAACACAAATTTTCTTTTATACGTTAGGAATATCACAGCACCAAATCAAAAGTCACTAAACTAGGCGACTTTTGAGGGTTACCAAAGACAAGGGTTATCACAAAGCATAGAAATATATACACTAGTCAAAGCGTTATCAAAATTAAATAAAAATATGAACATAAATTTATAAAATGTGTATTTTCGGTGACGATGATAAAATATAATTTAACAGATTGTAAAATTTAATAAATCGTAGTTGACGACTCTCTGATTTATTTAATTAAGCTTCTCAGTGTTTCTTTTTTACTTCCTTGTACGAAGTAAAAAGGAAGTATTGTAATCGCGAAAAGTTTCAGGCAGCATATTTCAACGAAATTATCCATTTTGACCGCTTTCGAATGCAATTTAACGATGTTTTTGCGTGGTATCTGTACGTAAGGACAGAATAAAATACTCTTTTCCTCCAAAAAAATTATAAAACGGCTTTAAAATGAATTCTGAAGAGAATTTTTCGTGGCGTCTGTACGAACGTATGTACGTACGTGCCTACGTTCGTACGTACGTATCTCGCATGACTCAAAAACGAGTAGCCTCAGAACGTTGAAATTTTGTATATAGGACTGCTATAACATGTAGATGTGCACCTCGTATTTTGGTTGCAATCCGCCGCACCAAACGTATATAAATATATTTATATAAATATCCACTCTGTTACCCGGCTCAGTGATCTCAGTTTCTTTACTCTTATATGTTTGTAAATTGTACATTTTTTGCTTTAAAAATGATTGAATTATGTTGTTCTTATCTTCCGGTTAAGGTTTTTGTGCCTTTAGTAAATCTGTACGCAATATTTTTGGAATTATCAACAATTTAAAAGTTGTTTAAGGGTCGCTAAGCCTATTAATTTTATCGATGGCGGCCATTGCTTGTTTACATTTGAAACAGCAGAGTAGTGGATTTGTTGCCAATTTGGAGAAACATAGCTTCGCAACAGCAATGATAACGCTTTCATTTATTATTGCGAATTAAATCATGCTTAATCCTTTCTGGAATTTTTTCGAGGAAATAAGTGTTTAAGATCTACTTAATTTTAAATAATTTAATTTTAATAATTAATAAATTAATTTTTAATAATTAGTAATTTTCAATACAGATATTTTGAGTTTATATGTATTTTTGCCTTGTCGCGAAGTGAGAACTGAATTAATTGAATGAGAAGTACTCAATGATCTGTGAAAAACTGTTTCTTTTTTGTTTTGTTTGCTTAATTTTTTAATACATCGTTCTAGCTTTATTATAGCATTTGAATAGAACATGTGGCAACGATTAGATAATTCTTTAAATGATATGAATTTTGTGCATTCTGAGTTATAATATGAACGAAATATTATACTGTTAAGTGAACCTAGCGCTAGAGTGTCGCTATGGTAAACAAATAGAGTGAATTTTAAAGAATGCATTTATTCTATTGTGGTTTATGCGCTGTCGGCAAAGTAGATTTAATTGAATCCAATAAGTTTAAAAGAAATGCAAGAAAAAATGCGTATAATTTAATATTCCGTACAAGGAAGTCATGTGGTGTACACACCAGATTTTTTTAAATTTAAATATCGTTATTTGCATAAAATAATGCCATCATCTGCTTTAACTTCTGGCAAATATTACCTTCTGTTGTGACTGCCATTAGGTAGCGCTGAAGCGCATAACTAGACTTTGTACTTTTAGGTAACGCTGTAGTTGGGCTCTGCTCTGGAGAAATATAGCAAGAACCGACTGAGTCGACAACAATGATTTGAACTTTCGTTTGAGAGTAATTTAGAATAGTTAAAATTTATATATAGTTTTAGTTCGTGTGTGATTTTCACATATTAAAGTGACTTTATTGAAACGTATCTCGTGAGGTAAAATTCAGACTAACCTGTATTTGAAGCGGATTATTACCTTTTTACTGTATCGCAGACCTTTTAATTCAGTTTTCCTCAGCAACAACTTTAATATCTCAACTTCACTACCTGCATGCGATTTAACTTGCATCGTAACTGACTCTCGTGAATTTAATGATGATCAAAAACTGAGATGGTGTTCTAAAGACTTATTAATTTGAATTGCGCTGTTTCTGTCATCCGCGACGTATCAAAATGATGCTATATTTTTTACTTTTAAGCGTCGCAAGTTGTACAGCTACAAATAACTCCAGTCCTTTTAATGTACTAAATGCAACTAACCGTCACTCAACAAATATTTCCGAGGTTTTTCCTCATCCGCTTCTGCATCCGAAGCTGCATATAGCATTCTTCTTCCTCGCTGTCCATGGTAGGAATTGTTCATCCTTCAGTAGATTCTGCAGAGAGATGGTGGGCTTTACAGACAAGTTAAAGTATGATACAAATCTCACAACGGCTGGAAACGCAAGTATTAATTATGAACAGGATCAGCCATGTAAGTCTCAGTAACTGTTTAGAATGCTTATGGGAAATGTCGTTAAAGAAAGTATGTCTTTTTAATGTAAATTCATAACTCGATACTTTCTAGTTAAAGCAGCCACCGCGATTAATCGCCAAAATTGGAAATATAAAACTCTAATTTCTAACGCCAAATTTTATATTACCAAGATTCACATGTTAAAAGTTTTATTGAGAAAGTTGTATAATTAATGGTGCTACTTTGGTAGACGGTTGCACGGATTTTGGCGATTTTTTGGCGATTGTTTTTCGGTGAGCGATACGACTTATGGTAAACCCATTGCTAGACAAATTGTTTATGGTAACCGATACTTTGTTGTCATTTTATTTAAAAAATAATGCGTTTATTATGCATAAATTTCGTGTTTTAAATGTTATTTATGGCTTTTAAATATTAAAAATCAATTTAATTTTCAATTTTTATTTGAAATAAAAATTTTATTGTTTATGATATTTTATGGAATTTTATGTTGTGAATGATGTAATGAATGACGTCACGTTATTTTAAAAGTAATTGGTTTTTATATCTATAAATTTAATCTAATGTTTTAAACATTACTTATGGCTGTTAAATATTAAAATACAATTTAATTTTGCAATTTTTTAAATATGATTTTATTATGAATGATTATTTAAATAATTTTAATTCTATGCGTGATGTAATCAGCTCCCTGATTGGTTACTGAATATTTGTGCATTACCGCGCCATTTTAAAATTTTATTATTCATCTCTTCGAATTCATCAGATTTCAAAGCGAATGGATGTCTGTTTCGAAGATAAATGTTGTTATTGGTAATTACCAAGAATTATTGGTATCGGCATAAAAAAATTGCCGTTTGAGACCTTATTTTGGCCAACCTGAATTTCTTAATCAAAGATTTATCTATTGTTACAAGGATCAGAGGAAATTTATTAAAAATTTTTGGAGGAAACCTCGCTAATTGCTTCTTCAATGAAGTGCGAGAGATGGGAATAACAGATGAAGATCGTTTTTTTTCTGGTACTTATCAATATACTAAAGGTAAAATGCTTTAAAAAAATGTAAGTACATATTTTTCTTTTACTTTATTATTGTATACTTAAATTTTATTAAAAAATTAATACACTTTTTCAAAAATTCCTGAGATATTTATTGCCACATATGTTTTAATGTTAAATAATTATATCCTATAAAACTTATTTTAAAGGATTTGAATTTAAGTAATTGAAAAATTTAATTCTTTTAAACGTTGGTTAATGTTTTTAATTCAATATTCAATTTAAGTAATATTTTATTCCAATTAAATGTTGGCGCAATGTTTTTATTGCGGTGTTTTTATTCTATTATATGATAGTAATAATTTAACCTTACTTTAGCACTTTATACTCTTAGTAAATGTATTTATTTACATTTACCAGCCATCTTAAAAAAACAACGTTTTCAACAAAAAACTAATCCATTATTTTTAACGATATTTATTTTTTTAAAGTTTCGAATACTTTACTATGCGTGAAATACGTAAAAACAGCATTTTTCAAGATGGTTGACGATTGTAAAAACCGCGCCAACGTAAATCGCCAAAAATCCATGCAATCGTCTACCAAAGTAGCACCTAATTAATTTCTGATTTTTTTTTATAGTTTTTGTACTTATTTATTAAAGCGACCAATGCGTTTAACTCCCAAAACTGGAAAATTTAATCGCCTAAGCTGTAGGCTTGGAAATTCGGGGAAAGTGCAGAATCGCCCACTGCTTGGTGCGTTTTTAAGAATTGTACATACTCGGTATCTATGTACACATCGACCCATTTTTCACTTTAAAAAAATCCCAGAATTGCACAAAAATGGCATTGCGCACTCTTTTGACTTTATCCATCGACATAATTTCATTTAAAAAGTCAAAGAAAATTGGCAAAAATCCAATTCTTCTTACTCTTGTAAAAAGCGCCAAACAAACGCTAATCAAATAAGTGGGCGATTCTGCACGTTAGCCGCAAATTTCAGATATCGCCAAAGGCTTCTGTGACACAGTAATACAGTGGTTGTCAATTAAGTAGTACCGTAGTTTCTGCTTCTTAATACTTTATGCTATTCACAAAATTCAGTAAAAGAAATACTTGAATTTTAAATGTATTCTGAAAAATCACTAATCAGAGACACCGTCATTTAATTTTTAGTAGACAGTGAATTAATCTTTAATAAACATTATTATTGATAAAATTATGATCAAAATTTTAGGAATTTGAAATTAGGTTAGAACTTAATTTGATAGTAACTTATAAAAATACATTTATTTTCTCGTGTTTTTACTCATTTCGGTTGAAAATGTGCTTTAGTCCACTGCTTGGGGATTTTCAGCTGATAATACAGGGCTCTAATATTTTGTGGCAACAATTTAAAAAGTGACTTACTGTTTATAGTGAATCATAATATTGAGTTAGCCATGTTGGCGCGTTTATTGCCCATTCAAAAAAATTTGCTAAGCAGTGGGCTAAACCGCATTTCAACTCACGTCGACCTATTTTTACTTAAAAAAACATCCTAGAATTGCCCAAAAATTGCATTGCGCACTCTCTTGACTATATCCATGTACACTGCTTTTTTCTTATAAATTAGAAAAATTTGCACGAAAATGCAGGAAAATTTTGTGAATCTTTAAAGTCGGTAAAAAGGACATATATGAAATTACCTAATCGCGAAAAAGTATATACTCTTTCCAAGGATGAACATTTGCACGCATAAAATAAATAAAATATCCAAAAACATTTCCCTCTAAATTATCTATTATAAATGTCACCTGCGAATTTATAACGCAGACATTAAAAATGGTTGCAAATACTTAGTGTCAAATATTTAAATTATTTCCATGCACGTTTACTTCTACTGAAACGAATTCCAAAATGCTACAAACATATAATTCACAAAATAACTATCATTTAATTAAAATATAATTAAATTAAAAACACTACTTAAAATATAAATAAACACATACATTAAATTAATAAAAATTAACTTAAAATCTTAATTACTTTAAACTAATTCATTGCTAATAAAAATTTTCCAATAATAGCATATTAATTTATTTATACCTTATATTTAAAACAATGCATAAAAATAATATCCTCAAATGATAAAAAAAATACTAACTTACCTAATCTTCTACAGAATCTTGAGTGCATGGCGGATCACGAAATGTCCATTTTCACCAGATTTCTTGCACCGCCATTCAAACTTATCTGTAATATCCTTCCTTTCACACAATCTCATTTCATTTCCATATGTTGGACATTCATACTTATCCGCAATTAATCCTACACTCATACACCATTCAAGCAATTCTTTTGGATTATCAGATAGACGCAATAAAAATTTCGAATTAACTTTAGATAGGGCCATGGGATCCAAAAATTAAGCAATACTGTTTCACACAACACACAATGAAGCTAAATACAAAATGTTAAACGCAATAAAAATTTCGAATTCACTTTAGGTAGAGCCATGGGATCCAAAAATTAAGCAACACTGTTTCACACAACACACAATGAAGCTAAATACAAAATGATATAAAGTACTGAAGATATTTTTCCAAATTTCCCCCCTTTTCTGATTAAAGAACTGTGATTCGTCCGTAAATGTCACATGACATATCTCATGATCTCTCATTTCTCTCACATAAAATAATGCTTAATTGGAACTGGGTACTTCTCACATTATTGTCCTAGGTAGTAGTATTAAGTCCTAGGTAGTAACGTTTATCGCCTACCAAAATGTCGCCAAACTGCCTGTTACCATATTCCAAAGATTAGCCGAAATTCTTTTGTGCAGTTTGTTTCACAAGAATGCTTATACACGGGGCTTGCAACAATTACTTTCCTTATGTGACAATTTTTCAATTTTGACAGGACAACAAATTCACGAACTAGAAACAATAAGCACCTCAGAGAGGTTTCCTTTAGAGGGCTTAAAAATTAATTCTATACCCTCTTACTAAAAATGTGTTCAGTTGAATTAACTGTAATTTGTTTTTCTAAATGTCAGAGGATGTATGATTTTACAAATTGTTGCCACAAAACATTAGGGCCCTGTATTATCAGCTGAAAATAGCCAAGCAGTGGGCTAAAGCACATTTTCACCGTCGACGTGTACATGGTTACCGTGTATGTGCCATTCTGAAAAACGTGGCAAGGAGTTTGCGATTGTGCACTTTCTCCCAATTTTGCAGTTAATATTCGTCATGATTAAGCACTTTTGTTCCATAAAATTTCTAGCATAAGCGTAATTCGGCTAGCAGATTGTTGGAAAAAATGTTGAGTAAATAAAAAAAAAAGAAACCTGTCTTTACTTCGTGAAGACAAAATGGCGCCGAAAAAAAAAGTAGAAGGTTGCTGTAGCAGGGTTGGTTCCCAAATTTTCGCCAAAAATTGCCAAGTTACCATAATCCAAAGATTAACCAGAATTTTTTCATAAAAAAATTCAGAAGATGTCGATAATGACTGATCCAATGCTATAAACGTGCATAAACCAGAAACCAGAATGTTATGATTTACATAAATTGCAGCAAAAGTAAAGTTTTTGCCTTTAAATCAGTACATGAACAAAATGAGAGCTGTAGTGTAGAACTGGGTGCCTCTCGATTAGCGACAATTTTGTTACATTTTGGCGATGAAACCTCATTTCTGTTTAACTTTGTTTTAACTTTGTTTTAGCTTCCTGATTTTTTTAAATGAAAATAGATTGATATGTACATGGACAAAGTTAAGACAGTGCGCAATGTGTAGTTTGTGCAATTCTCTGATGTTTTTTAAGTGAAAACACAGAGGTTGTGCAATTCTTTGACTTCTTATTTTGGTTTTGTGTAGAGGCCATCTTGAAATCTTGCCTTGCTGGCCCCGATCTTGGCGTCAAAAAAGAATCGCCAAAAAACAAGGGGAACCAAATTGTAAACTTTTACCAAAATGAGAAATATGGCTGCGAAATGCCTCGCTTAGAAATGAAGCTTTAACAAGCATTATTAGTCAATTTCGGTTGCGTGCATCTAGCAACACACGCCTTACAGAATTTTTTAAGTCATGCTGGATCGAAAGACGTTGGCCATGTCTGATTTGGTTTGGTTTAACTACTTACAGTAAAATTCATAAGGGCTATTACCTAAAAGAGTGCCTTCATGGAAGACTTTTAAGAAGGCCTTACCTGATCTGACAGCTTCAATTTCATTCTTTATTTAACATATCGCAATGCGTATGAAGGCAGTCTTCCAAGCTCAGAGACGCATTCATGGAAGACATTTGTATTTATGCAAATGACTCGTATTTATGTTGCCTTTTTAAAATCGCAAAAGTGCTTATGCAGCTCTATCGTCAGGAATTCTAGCCGAGAAGTAGCCATTGTTTAGAGGCCTTAATAACTTTCCCGTTAAGCTTCTTAACACCAGCGGATTTCATTTTATGTGATTAAAGCTTACACCTATAATATTTCAAAAATCGACCATCGTAAAAATATTCAACAACATTCCAGTTCATTTGGCGCCAGTGCATGCAAACCTGTAGCTTATCCCTTCCAAGAAGACATCTATTTTAATGGCGGAATTTTGATTATTACATTGAAAACATGCAAATCTATTATTTTGGCTTGTATTTTTAAAATCTATAACTTTCCTTTTTCATTTATCATGAATATACTTCAGCAGATTTTTTTGTATCATAATGTTTATCAACAGTATATAATTACTTCAGCGAAATTTAGTATATTAGTTTTCTTAAAGACTTTTCATTCTCTATAGGGCTTAGATGGAAACGAATTTTGGAAAGCACTAATGACCTTGCAGCCGATAATGATATCAAGCATGCCCCGACGGTTGTCGCTACGAGACTCACTGAATCAAACAATACGATGGAAGAAATGGCTAAAGGAAACACATTTAGAAATGGATTTCTCAGCAGATTGTTTCTACATGATCCTTTATTGATGCTTTTACATGCTGCTAGAAGAAATAGCATTATAGGTCCTTCGATTGATGTTGATAATTTCAGATCAGATGGTATTGAGCATTTCTTCCTAAATAATAACGATAACAATGACAGCCATATTTTTCCATTAAGTAACACCAAATCTGTAGGAATGCAACCAATTTCTTTGGGTAAAAAGGACGATGACTATAACTTTATCCTAGATGCCAAAGATCCACATGCTGATGTTCAGTCTTTTCCATCAGATGAGAATAACGATAATCATGACTCTGTTTTTAATAATAACCAACCTTCGCATACAAGTACACAGTCTTCTGTTCACGATAACAATGACGTTGAGAATAACAGTCTTAATATGATCAGAAGATTGCTGCGTGCTTACGAAATACCTTCAAAATTCCAATGAATTTAATTTCAGCTGTGTGTCTTCAAAGTTTCTAAATTTTGTTAAACATATTGACATTTTAAAATTTATTTTAAAGCTTTTTAATTTTTATGGCTATATTTTACATTCAGGCTTATCAAAATTAACAAGCATGAAAAATATTATTGTGGCTTTCAGGAAATGAAATAAAAGTAGATCTGTTCTAAAACAACTGTGTATTTTGTACAGATTAAGGATAATAGTAAAATTACTCAATAAACATGATTTCTTTTAACTTAAATCTTTCTTTCCAAGACAACTGCAACTATAAATACATTATAAATACATATATGGGTGTTTGATACACAAATCTGCCTCGAAAAGTGTGGGTAGTCGAAGTCTTCTGCCACAAGAGGCAGTACAGTTAGCTTCCTTATTTACTTGAGTTATACCGAAAACGGCGTCCATGATTAGACGGGGATAAAGTAGAAACACATGAAAGCCGGTCATTCATAACTTAACGAAAACTTAACGAAATTAATTTGGAAAATAAGATTATTCGGTTATCTAAATTAAATCAGTATTCAAATCAATATAAATAAATAAATAAAATGAAATAAAAATAAGGGAAGGATAAACATCAGAAATGAATAAATTAAATTGTAAATGGCTATAAAATAGAATTCACTGAAGCCTTGTTTTGCGAATTTGAAAGCCGTTCGACATCTTAAAATGTTCATAAACTAAAACCACGAACTTAATCATAATCATAAAGGGAAAAATCTATTTTCCCCATACAAATTAAGGCAAACCAGTTTTTTAACCCATTTCGGAATCGCAGAGGATTGCTTATTTAAAATCTGCTTCAGTACCTCTTATCCAAGTTTATAACACAAAATCAGTGGAAATTATTAAATATGATATATATGTGTGTGTGTGTGTGTGTGTGGACATTCGATCTTACAACGTATCCACCTTTCTCCTTCCTGCACCTGGCAACCGCATCGGCAGCTAGATGATTCTCGAAGCTGTGTGATAAGTAACTTCTCCACTTCTGCGCGTGAGAGATGCTGACGTGGTGAACGGATCCTAAAAAGTATTACGTAGTAGTTAAGAGACTTTAAAACATTCCCATTTGGTGTGAGGATTACCACTATTGTGATGCCATCCTATGCTATGGAGCTAAATTTTTATCTTACTTCTTTTCATCTTTTTATGTTTCTTCTTTTTTTTTTTTTTTTTTTTTTCATTAAAATACTAAATCTTAACATTGGTGTCATTCTTAAAGTAAAGTAGAAAGACACCCACATACATACATATATATAATTCTGAAAGCGTTTCAAATTCTACGTTACACCTGAAAGGGCGGTTTTTCCATTTTACATACATACGTTTCGAGAGCGTTTGGGCTAATATCCCTTTAGGCCAAAAATATTTAAAAAGAATATGTCTTTAGAATTTCTGATAGACAATCTCGCACGCTGAAGATAATGTTTTTTTTTTTTTTTTTTCGTACATTACATTGCTCGTTTTGACATCGTTGAGTTTGTGAATCAAAAATTCGTAAAGTTTTACAAAATATGAAATAGAAAATAAAACAAATTGGAAATTCCAAATTCGGACTTCCAGGTGCCCATATTCGCGTGGAGGACTACTTTATTGAAAATTTAATAGCTCTAGGTATTTTTGTTTTATCACAATGCGAGAAACATACATATTCATGAACATCATGAAGATTCTTCATTATTTACTTTCTTTAGATATAATACACGCTTTTAGTGATTTTTACGACGCTTTTAGTGATTCAACACAAAATGCCGTTTCGAGCCCAACAGCCATTCTGGGCTGACGCCCTTTTGGGGTAATAATAAATAAATAAATAAATACAGTATTAAACATATAAAATAGATGAAAATTTAATTTGATTTTAATATAATCCCGCGAAGAAGCTTGGATGTGATGAAGAAAAGGAAAGGAAGGTACATGCATGTACCTCATCCAAACCATGGTTTGGATGAGAAGTTTCATGAAAACATCAGGCAATTATCTTTCTGAGGTAGCCTTTTTTATATTTTCTTCGTTTCTTAGCGTCATTCGGCTCTGCTTGAGACTCAGTGGGCTGCGTATTCAAAATTTATGCCATGCGATTTGTTGCCTCGTTTTAATATGCGTCTTAAGCGAGACATGGCATTGCCTTGAAAAATGCCTCTGCTGTAAATATTACGATGCCTGTACCTTGATCAGGATATCATTACTTGCGAAATTGAATCTTAACCTATTTTACAAAGTTTATTGGACCAAAAACTACACTGATATTCTCTTCCTTTCTCTTCCTCTGAAAACACTTCCTCCACAATCGGACGTTTTTGCCGCTTCCAACTTAGTTCAGATCTTTCACACGGGGCCCGTTTTTTGTCCTCTAGTAACTCTTTAACGTCTTCTTTTTAATTTCCGAGCTCACGGTTTTGCCTAAAGACTTAATATCATTAGTTGGTAATAAAACAATCCTCAGTTTCGACTCCCTCAAAAACCTCTGTCTACGTTTCAATCTAATTATATAATTTCCATCAGAATAAATTCAGAATCCTGTAAAAGGGGCTATCACACGCCGGTTTGTTTCGGAAGAACAACTGTTTGGAACAATTTTTCTGCTTTGTCACAACAGCCAATCAAAACAGATCGCTTTGGGGTTAACGCAGGAAAACTGGTTCCCCACTACAAACAAGCTGATAGCAATCGAAGCTGATAGCTGATTGGTTGAAAACGAACAACCTGCAATTTTTTTGGAAAGGAAGGAAAAAGTCGCGCGTCCTTCTTTCAATAGTAAACCAGGCAGAAAAATTGTCCGAAACAGTTGTTCGTGTGAAACAAACGCCGTGTGATATGGGCCTAAAAGTCACTTTCTACCAGGTTTTGTTAATGAGAATTAATCAAAAAAAAATAATAATGTTAAACATGTAAATATCTAACCGTAAAGTAAGTGCCTGAGTGTTAATTCAGCGTCAGTGTGTATTCCAAAACACCTCTGAAAATCATTTGCTGCCAACTTCAATGTTGGTAATTTGAGAAACTGTTCATTTCCAAAGCCGTCTTTTGTCCAAGTAATTTTTTCCATTCCCTCAGATGGCGTTGATTATTCGAAGTCCCACTGTATTTACAATAGAACTTGAACTGTGTTAGTACTGTATTTTCCGCTGACAGTTTTATTTACACCTATGATTTATGACAGTAATTTTTCCATCGCTGCACAGTAAACAAACTAAACTCATTCTTAGACAGGGCGTGGTTAATTTACCCTGGTAAAGAGGAATTTCACTATATTACGTTAACGCTTTCACAGCAGATAAATTAGAATTTACTATGATACCATTGCCACTAAATAATTTTCCTGCATAAAATTCTATTTCTTAGGAAACAAACTAATTACTGATAAGAAAACAATACCTCCGTTTTCGTACTCTGTGATCTTTTCTTTCATGAGTAACCATGCAGTAATCAAAAAGGTCTAATTATCGAGAAATGGAATAATTGTGTCATTTCTCCTATCTATAGTGATTGTTGCTCTTAATAGCATTAAATTATACATTTCTTGAAACATCCTAAAACACATTATGTACAGTCGCTAAACACTGGTAGTTTCCGGCGTTCGAATCCAGTGAAAGGACTACTTGCATGAGTATTTTCGTGGTTTTCCCCATTAGTATATGAAACAGTTTTTCTCAGAAATCCATCCACGAAGGCAGCCCTCTCCTTAAACAGATAACACGCGAGTGCTTTGCAATAGTAAAAAAAAAAAAAAAAAAAAAAAAAAAAACAAGCCAAACCAAACGATACAACATATTTTGAGAGTTCTACAATACTATAAGTCATGAAATTTCTAGCACTGAAGGCAGATCCTTGACATAAAATAAAATATTAAATTTCAGTTAATTAGCTCATTTTTCTACCTTTCTTTTCATGTGATTTATTCTTTAAACGTTTTCATTTCAACATAAATAAATGTTTGTTTTTTATTTCTCACGTTGTCTTTAGTTATTTAAAATTTAATCTGCCATTGATTATTTAAAAAAATTAAAATTTTAAAATATTTTACATTAAATGTTGAAAAAAAGCTTGAAAGTTTTCAGATTTTATATTATGCCCAAAGGGAAGTTTGTCTTATTTAAACACACATATACGTGTCGAGAGCATTTGGTCTTCTTGGTCAAAAATATTTAAAAACAGCATATCTTTAGAATTTCCGATAGAGAGTCTCGCGAGCTGGAATTAAAAATGTGTTTTTCGCTTTGAAAAACGCTTTGAAACGCCTTCGCAGCGTTACTCGCTTTGAAATTCTTGAGATTGTTAATCAAAAATTCGTTAAAGTTTTACAAAATATAAAATAGATAATAAAGACAAATTCTAAATTCCTAAATTTCGAGATTTCCAGATGCGCATATTCGGGTGGAGGAACGTACGTTATTCAAAAATGATGGCTCTAGGTACCGTTGTTTTTTTCACAGTGCGAGGGGAACGTTATATATCTTCCATATTTTGAAGCTTAAAAATTGTATAACACAATTTTATAAAAGTACATTAATACATGGATATTTTAAGTAGATATATCATGAATTAAATGCATTTTTATTTAAATCAGTCAGATTAAAAATTAAAACACATAATATTTTTCAGAACTGCATCTGTTGATTTTAAATTGCTTAATAACAGAGAGATTAAATTTGAAAGACAAACACATTTTTAAATTTTGCTGAGTAACGATAGAGTTGGATGAACAGTGGTTTGGTGCGGTTACGGCAAAGCACTCGAGGACTAATGCCGTGAATGAGCAGTGAAATAATGCATTTAGAAAGGGCAGCGTTTTATGTAAATCAACACCAAATCGTAGTTCGTGTGACCTGTTTATTGAGAGGTGCTTCATGAATGCAAGATGAAATGCTTATTTGTCATGTGGCAGTTCGTGAAAGATTAGAATTTGTAAACAGACTTTTAAAGCTATTGTATTGAATGTATTTAAACCTTCGAACATATTCGAAACGTCTTGTTGTAGTGGCGCCATCTATGAGAATACAGTATAAGTTCTTTTGAATTCTGGGGTGAGTTCGTCCCCTCTCCCTAAGGAAACCAGTACACAAATAATTCTAATGGATTTGATATTTCAATTTAAATGGATTTCAATCAATTTCTGCATGAAATTACTTGGGATTTTGAATAATGTAATGAAAAAAAAATAATTTAAGGAATTTTAAAATAATATTAAGACAACATGACATATTACGTTGTGAGTA